CAGCCAGGTCCGTACGTGAGAAATAACTGATAGAAAATGTTGGAAAAGACTGAGTTTGGCCACTTGTTGGCCACGTTCCTGGTTTTGGCTGAAGTATTACAGATGAAAAGTAGTTCAGACCTCCTGCTGCGCCTGTGACTCTAGAATCAGAAGCAGAAATCTGTTTTCCTTTAAGGAGATGAATCGCCTTTGTTCGCTTCACCTAACAGAACTCATTGAACAAATCACAGCTTGATTGTTCTTCTAGGTTAGTCTAAAAAAAAAAAAAATGCACAGATGTGGATGGACTGCGAGACCTCTCTTGGTTTCAGTGCGGAAGGCTCTGATGTCCCACACTTTCCCGCTCTGCTCTTCAGCAGATGTTTACCTTTTCAGTTAGGTTTTCAATGAACTCCATGACCTTCCAGGATAGGTACTTCTGCTGTTTTATTATTTTTATGGTTTCATTATTTTTATAGTTTGCAATTCTTACATCTCACCTAAGCCTCTGTTATAGCACAAGTCAGTGTCATTTTCTGAATGTAGAGAACGCTTGCTCCTTGTCTCTAAGCAGATGTTTTTAGTCTGAAGGCTATCATGGTTTTTCGTAGTTTTTGATTCTTTGGTTTTTCTTTATGGTGGCATGATCTATGTCTCTTACACTTCCTTAATGGTATTTTTCCCCCACTTTTGTCCTTTAATTTTTTAAACATGTCAATTGGAAGTAGATATGCGGTCTTACCAGTGCCAGCTAGTGTCAGTTCTGTGACTGAACTATGGCTCTCTTGTTAATCACCCAGGACTGTATTTATCTAGTGGTATACTTAACACACAACCCAGGCAAAGTTTTATAAACTTCCATGGAAGTTAAAAGCTCTTGATTCCATTCAGGAGCAGTAAAACAGGAGCTGCAGTGCTGGGCGTGCAAATCAGAAGGCAGATCAATCTTTCCTCTCAATAAAAACTTCCAGCTGCCTTTTCCCTCCCCCTGATCTGCCCTGTTTGTGTCTCCCCAGCTGCAGCATCCGAGCGCTGAAGTGCGAGAGTATGCCTGTGCCAGTATTTCCAAGCTGTTGCAGCAGAAGGGTGTCATCCCAGCCTTTCTGCAGAGAGACGTTGTCCGGCGTTTAGGACCGCTGTTGATGGATCACAGCTTAGCTGTTCGCGAGACAGCCGCAGGTGCTCTGCGGTAAGCAACTGTTAATGTTCAGAGTACGAATGAGTTACCCCTGGCATGGTAGAGTGGGGTTTTGCTGTTAAAAGCCATAAACTTGAATGTCAGCCTCTCTTGCTTCAGTTACATTTTGAGTAAGTATGCCTAGGCTAGTCAGAGTCCCCGAGAGAGGGGCTTTTCTTGCTCCAATAGGCTGCTGTGAGACTTTAATGTCAGGAGCAGGGTTTCAGTTAGTCACTACTGTTTTATCTGTTCCCAGCGCTGCTTTTCATCCTTGTGTTAGAGGAAAAAAAAACTACCAGTAGTATGAAGAAATACAGAGAACTGGAATGCTGTTAGTATGGTGTTTTGTGTCTTGATAACACTGTAGGAGCGGTTGGTTAGTTAGAGAATACACATAGCTGGCTTTTTGAGAAACCTGTAAATATTGAACAGCATCGTTTTGAGTTGGTATTCTGTGGTTGGACCTACAGCTTGCTTTATTTGTACAAAAATGTGATGCTAGTACTTGTCAACATTCGTGTTGTGTCTTACACTGAGTAACACCTGACAAAAGTAATGGTTTAGTACGGATAAGCTTTCTAGTTATGCCACACAAGTAAGTGAAAATATTTTTTTTTCCCCTGATACTAAAGCTATTGTTTTATGTTAGGAAGGTAGAAGACTAAAGTTACTGATTAAGCAGATTGATTTTAAAACAAAAAGTACCATAACCTTTAGAGAATACTGAATGTTTTTTTTTACTGAAGGTTTTTTTTAAACATTCCTGGAGAGTATTGTGTCTGATCCAAAGCATTTATTTTTTTTTCCCAGAAATCTGAGTGCTTGTGGAGGATTTGAAGTCTGTGATGACATGGTTACAAAAGACATCATGACACCCCTTGTTGCACTTCTGAAAGAGGTGTGTTTATTTCTATTCTGATTTTTAAACTGATCTAGCCGTTGAATTACTGCATTTAAAAAAATAGTTCATTTTTTTGTAGCTATTATCAAGATAAGACACTTGAAAGATCTTTTAAAAGAATATTTCAGAAGGTTTAATAGTACAAAAAATATTCCAGAGATTTCAAACCACTTGCTTCTGCCTCCTGACCTGCTAACTTGGGTCCATTGTGAGGTTTGCTGCCTAGGATGATTTTTGCATAAGTGATCTGGAGATTTTGGGTCTGGAACGTCAGTCAAGACATGTCTATTCTGTCAGTCAAGATCCAGATCCAACATTTATGTTGCAGCATTATTTTAGTGAGGTTTTTTGGGTAAACAATTTTGTCTAAATGAAAGGTTGGATTTACAGTTGGGTAGTTACTGCTATTGTAGAATAATCTGTACTGAATGCCTATTCTTTGTTTGGTCCAGGTGTTGCAGTGCAGTTTGGAAATTGCATTGAATTCTGTCACCTGCTGTCTTTGTATGAGCAGCCTTGAGCAATACCATCATTTTCTGTATGTTTCTTCCCCATTTTAAAATATGGGTAATAGCATTATTGTAAAGCACAGGAAGATATTAGCTGAATTAATCTTTGTGATTGGAGAGAACTGTTGAAAATTGCATGCAAACTATATTATCAAGAAACAGCATTTCAGGTTCTAAAATAGCTAAGTATTTGTTTTTTTAAAAAAAGCTTCTGAAGGCTATTGAGTGCAAAGCAAGTACTGTAAGAGAAAAAAAATTATCAATGATTCAATTCCATTGTGGCCCGGTTTTCATAGAGATTAGGAAACTAGTTGGGTTTTGTGGTAATGAACGCTTCATGAGAGATCTCTCCATTCACTCTGCTGCTAATGTTTTAATTTTTTGCTCTTCTTTTGGCTTGTTTGTTTCCCAACTGTGGTTCTCTTGTTTGGTTGTAGTGTAGCACTGGGCTAGATGCTACCCAGCTCTCTCCAAAGAAATGCAAAGAGACGAACAAAAATTATATTGAAGACATAGCCAATGAGGCTATTAATTTGCTGTGGAATGTATGGTAAGTGCTGTGTAAACTCTGGCTTTTTAGAAGAGCTGAATTAAATTGTTCCTGAGACAGAGCCTGGTAAGTGAGGCAGAAAAGAAATGACTGTCATAGAAACATAGAATCATTAAGGTTGGAAAAGACCTCAAGGATCATAAAGTCCAACCCAACACCACCTAACTCACTAACCCATGTCCCTAAGCACCACATCTCCACGTTTCTTGAACACCTCCAGGGATGGTGACTCAACCACTTCCCTGGGCAGCCTGTTCCAATGCCTGATCTCTCTTTCAGTGAAGAAATTTTTCCTAATATCCAGCCTAAACCTCCCCTGGTTTAACTTGAGGCCGTTTCCTCTTGTCCTATCACTTGTTCCTTTAGAGAAGAGGCCAGCACCCACCTCACTGCACCCTCCTTTCAGGTAGTTGTAGAGAGTGATAAGGTCTCCTCTCAGCCTCCTCTTCTCTAAACTAAACAACCCCAGCTCCCTCAGCCGCTCCTCGTCAGACCTGTGCTCCAGAACCTTCCCCAGCTTCGTTGCCCTTCTCTGGACTCCTCAGATGGGAAAATGTATTCAGTTGCTGCTTCTGACTTTTGGTTGTGTTGCTCCTCTGTGTGCCTTGCTTCATGAATGGCAAGCCCTCATCTGGTCTGAAATACAAGTTTACCTTCCCCATAAATTACTTTTGTAAGGGAAGGATTCTAAAAGTGCACAAAGTTGGTCATTAGTTTTAGGAGAGGAACAATTTCTTTTTCCCCCCCGTTGGCTGTTCATCCTAAGTGCTGATGTTTTCTGAACGCGTTCTGTTGTAGTCTCCTATACAGTCTGAGTTGTGGGGTCTTGAGTGCAGTTCCTGTAGATCCTGATTGTGGTACAGGAGGTGGAAAAAATTAAATTCTGATCAGTGGATTCCAGTGCTCTGGGAATATGAGGAGGTTTTGTGCTCCTTCCTCCCTCTGCAGGTCATCCCAAAAGTTAATACTAAACATATGGACAAAATATCCCTTAGTGACTGAGGCACTGATACAAATTGACTTCATTCTGTGAGAAAGAATGTGGATTGTTCAGTTAGTAGTTTACACTGGAAACACCAGGTGAGGGAAGAGAAATGGCAACGCTGCTGATCCAGAAATGGCTGTAGACATTGAAGTGATACAAACCTGTCCTGAAAGTTCTTGAATTTTCTGTTCATTTTGTAACAGCTCCACGTCATTGTACACCTTGATCCATACAGAATTTTGTTTGGTGCTGTGCAGTGTTTCAGGGGAGCTGTCTCTGCGTCTGTCTGTGTGGCGTGGCTGCTGGCTTGATGCCTTATTTGTAAATTGTGGGTTTGAAGGACTGGAACCTGGAACAGTGCAGAAACTGCTCACTCAGCACCTTGCACAGAACACATGACCCTTTGTAGCTCGGACTCAGCAATGTTTTGCATTCATCTTTATTGTTGCTTTTGTAGCCATAAGTGTTTTGGAACAGGAACTGTAATCATGAAGTGTGCCATGAGTCAGTATTTTGAACTTTGTGGCAATGACCGTGAATGCTGACTTCATTGCTAAGTCTGGTAATGACAAAATTGGGACTGGCGTTGATGCTGAGGGATAATATTTTCAAAAGTAAATGTTTGAAGCCCCTTGTAGCTAGTTAGGTAGCATTCTTTTTTAGTTTGAATTTGTCTTGTTCAATATATTAATTTAAAAATGGGAATAGCTGTGAAAAGTTGAGGACACAGAAATCCCACTGTTAGATAATTAAATTTGCATTTAGCATTGGTTTAGCATGCTTTTCTGAATGTTAAGAGCAGTCATTTTCTGGAGTAAGCAACTATTGATGTGAGAGCTCTGTTGTCCTGGGTTTGTGGCTGAAGTCTCCTGTGGCTGCAGAGAGTCGTGGGCTGGCTTGTAGCCCGCAACTGTGAGCTGCCTTCATGTTCTGTCTGCATGAGACCGTATTTAGGCTCCCAGATAAACTCCTGAATACTGTGTGTGAGGAAGCAGCTGGCAGAAACCAGCTTTCCTCAAAGGTGTCCAGGGTATTGCAGCCTCTCTTTCTCCATTTAACCAGAGTTGATCATAACCTTAATAACGAAGAATAGCTCTTTGACTAATGTGTAATTCTTAGGTGGGGTTTTAAAATGTGAGTAATAGTGAGTACATGTTACCTAAAATGCTGTTACAGTAATTTTTTTCTGTGAAAAGTGTTTTATTAATCTTTTTTATGTATTAGTGAATGCAACAATACCGCCGTATGCATATTCAATAAAGAAGGATGTCTGGAGGCTGTGTTACATTACATGAAGAAATTTTCCACAAATGTGGATCTGGCTATTTCAGTAGGTAAGTGGTAAAAAGAGAAGATAAGGATTTAAAGGTGCTTTTTTTTTCTTTACTATACGAATGTAACACTGATGTCACATCCACTGCATAATGCACCTGCCTTAGCATTACTTAAGCGTCACGCTGCATATAAGACTTTGAATTCCTTTCTGAACAGCACATCATTCAGAAGTTGACATCTGTTGTGCTTATTTTCAGTCCAGAGGAGAACGGCTTATTGGTGGTTACATGGGAGGAGAAATTTTGTAGAAAGAAAGCTCTAGACAGAGGCTGTGTTTTTAATGTTGTGTTCTGGTTTTGGTAATGAAGGGTTTAATTTGTAGAGCAGAGGACATAGTCCGTCTGAAAAATCCCCAAACGACAACTATCCCTTTCAAGATGGTTTTATTAGTGGTATTGTTATTGTAGTCTTACAGGTATATGTGCTCATGACATTTTTTCGGTATTGTCCCTAGTCAGTATGCCATGGCAAAACTGAATTATGAGTAGCTGAAATGAATGCAGCTAGTCCCATGTCTGATGTGGTGTGTCCTCACCTGGTTTGTGGACAGGTTTGCATAGAATATATTTTCATCTAAAACACAGCTTGTGAAGGACAGTGTCCTACCATTACAACATGATGCTGCGTGAAATGTTTCTCTCCTGTGTCTGTTTCATTACTCCAACTCTCAGGAGGAGAATGCTTTCTCATTAGGAGAGTGAAAGCTGCTATTGGCTTTGTTAATTGTCTTTGTTGTTGTTTTTTGCTGCAGCAAACTGCTTGCAGGCAGTGACGGAAGATAATCCAGATCTTCTTTCTTCATTTAATGCTTCTGCACAACAAGTACTGGAAACAGTGATGTTGTGTCCAGAGACCACAATGAAGCACATCCTTCTGAGAACCCTGATAGCAGGTATGATGCTTGAGGGCTTTCCTTGCTTTGTGATGGAGAGTACTGCAGGTAAAGGGGGTGGGAAGGAGGGAAAGCTTAGTCTTCTCTGCTGTGGTCTGGACATCTGGTCATCAAAGCCTGTACAGATGGGTCATGAGGTTTTCCTGCCTTCTGGGATTGTGTTTTGGAGGGACCAGATATTTGCTACTAGTTCTAAAACTGTCTTAAATTCTTCATTCTGAATTCAGTACCTGCTCAGTGTGATAACCCATTTCAACTGTTCATTTGGTTTTTAACAGTGAAATGAGTCAATAATAAGTAGTAGAGGAGTTGTTTTGATCTTAATAGGTGTAGATTTTTACCTCAGCTTCTTTACCTTGCATTCTTCTTTCTATATCAAATGCTCAACCATGGTGATTTATGATACTGGAGTGTAATATGTTAATTTTGAGAATACTTAGAAAATTGCTGTCTTGTGTGGATTTGCTATTGCAGGTAAAAAGTGTCACCAGGGTCTCTCCACATAAATATTCGGTGTATACTTACATGCTAAAATTTACTTGAGCTTAAGATGTGGGCATAGCATAGTTATTACAGATGAGTATATGAAATGTTAAACAGAAAAAAGTACAAGTCGGTACAGAAAAGACTTGAACATTCATACTGAAATATAAGTGCTCATTTTATTTTGAGTAGTGGAGGCTTACAAAAATACATGGCTGTTACAGAGCTGGGAATTGAGTATTTTAATAATTTTTGTATTTCAACTATCTCATGTCTAGGCACTATCTGGAATATCAAGGATACCATTCCACCAGGCAGCCTGGGAAGCACGGTTAATGCAATCCTGAAGATTTTTTCAGAATCGTTAGCAATAGATGCTGGTGAAATGGTTATTCGTATGAATGAAGCTGAAAAAAACAGGTTAAACCTTGCTGCAGAGGCAGAAACAGAGGAAGACATGAGCGATGTTATAGACAACTGTGTTTTGAATGAAGATGATGACATGGAAGAAATACCGAAAAAAAAAGTCAGGAGAGAAAATGACATTTCTGATCTGCTTCCAGTAAGTGTGGCTGGCTGGCTCGCGGACAGCTCGGTGCGTTTGGCTGAGCATCTGGCTGGTCTGTACTCAGCATCAGCCGGAGTAAACTACCTGCGAGTGTTACTAACCCTAACTCCCCAACAGCTTGACTCTTTTAGCCAAAACCTCAAAGATGAGCATGGAGAATTTCAGCACAGCTTGTTGCACAGTACATCAGGAAGGCGCATTTCCATCCTTTTCCTCTAGTGGAAGGTACAGGCTTATCTGATACTTCTCCCTGTAGCTAGTGCAGGAAGTTCTGATCTCTGCATAAGGCAAGTGAGATTTTAACGGGTGTAATCCCTTAGTCAGGAGTGGAGATGGCTTAGAGGTTAACAAATGCGTTCGCTGTTGCGTACATGAAAAGAATAACAGAAATATGTGTTTCTACTAGGGCTTTAGCTAACATTAGGTAATCTTTTCTGCTACAACTTCAGTGCAGGTGGCGTTTCTTAAGGGTAAAATTTGTTCTGAAACATCCAACAGAAAGATGATAGATAATGCCTCTTGTTTTTGTGGGGTTTTTTTAAAGTTTTGGTGTAGGATGAGGAGTGGAAATGGCTGGATTGTATTTTTAACTGACAGCTTGGTTACTTTAAATTGTCCTGAAATGTTGTTTTAGAAAATTAAATTTGGTTCTTGTTTTTATTTTTCAGTCTGATAAGTGGGAACTGAAAGAAGTGACAGCTTTACTGATGGCTCAGCAGACTGCCTTGGAAATCATTGTTAATATGTGCTGCAGTGAAGGTTTGTAGGAATCTCTTTCATTGCAGATGTTGTGGTGCGTTTTCTTACTGGAACAGGTCATGTTTGGTTTGCTGTTTGGTCATCTTGGCTTTTAGAGGTGAATGCACATAGACTTACTGTCCCTGACACCCTCATCTGGGGAGCAAATTGGATTGTAATTTCTATTACTAACTTCAGTGTCTTTTTTTCTCATTTAAGTAATTTCTGTTGCTTATGTATTTTTTTGCGTGATGCTACATGTGCCAACATTTAAGAACAACAAAAAAAAGCACTTGTGCCAAAGACATATTTCCTTGCAAGTATTACAGCAAATTCTTTGTTCAGTTAGAGCATGGTCTGAGTGTTCATCTGATATAATATGGATGTGAATCTTACTGCAGGACAGGGGCATCAATTTTTTTAAGCAGATAAATATTGTATTTTTGATTTAGTTTTGGTACTACAAGTGTTGCAAAAGAAGGAGGAGACCCAGCTTTTGCATGCAACTCTGGCAACAATGCAGATTTAGGCTCTTCAGAGTTCCACCTTCATGAGCTTTTTCAGAGGAGAAAGAAAGCTGTTGCTCACAGGGGGTAGGAAATAGATATTCTCTATCCTCTATGAACTTAGCTTTTTCAGAGGAGAAAGAAAAGCTGTTGCTCACGGGGAGTAAGAAATAGATATTCTCTATCCTCTATGAACTCTGATACTCAAGTTTTGGTAGCTTTTCTCCTGATCTTCAGGAAAACAAATTAGTGATCTCAAATTCTGTTTAAAAAAACACAGAGAACAACCAAACAAAACAACCCACCTAAAAAACATTCCAAAACCTGAAAACTTCAATTGCTACTGCAGTTTGTAAGCCTGATGCCAAAGTAATTGTAAAATCTTTCAGGTTCTAATAAAATCCACAGTAATACCCAGATATTCCCAATGGTGATTTTTTTTTTTTCTTTTACAGTGCAAGGAAATCCTGCACTTAGTGTATGAAGCTCCTTTCATAACTGCATTTCTCATCTAATGAGCTGTAATTCATAAGCTCTCCCCTTTAATTGGAAAATCTCTTGTGGATAAGCTGCATATTCTGCCATTCACTCAGTGTAATGTAAGGTTGATTGTGTTGGATTTCGCTACAGTGCTTTACCCATTCATGGGCAGACAGAAACATCATCTGTAGAAATTAAGAGGAATCCAGAGGCAGCTGTTCATTTAATTTTCAAGTTATTTGAGGACTAAAATAGCTCTAGCCATTATGCTGAGTTCATAGAAAGACTCAACTTGCCAGCCTCGTTATTTCCCTCTGTTCTGTGGTAAGAGATGTGTTTTACTGAACGCTGGCAGGCGGTGGGAAGAAGCAGAGTGCTCTCCCCTTTAACGGGACGTGGGAAGGAGGCCAGGAGACTCCAGCTTTGCTGTCCAGTCTGTAGTTCATAGGCTACCAACGCCAGTTAAGATGGGATTGCCTTTGGAAATGCTTCTGTATGGTGGCGTTGTATGTTCCAGAGTCTGGTTCCTGCTCTGGGCGCTCACTGTGAACACACAATGACTGTTGTCTTTGGTTTGCTGAATTGCGTGCTGGCTCGTACAGCTATCATTTACTTTTCAAATGAGATTTTTGTTTGCTTTGTAAGATGCAGATGATTTTTTTTTAGAAGAGGCAAAAGACTTGACTGAAAGGGGAATGTCTGCTTTGATTTCATGCTTGTTGCTACTGTCGGTTAGTAAAGCATAAACGATGCCTGTTTTCTCATGCCAAGGCTACTAACACTAGCATATTATGGCAGTGGAATTAATTGGATATTGCCGTGAGCAAAAGAAGGTGCCAGCGTGATCAAGTTGCCCAACCTGATGAATTACTTTGTACCAGATAAACAGTGGTCATCACCTTTAAATAAATTCTTAAGCTGCTGCACAGTGCAGGTGAAAAATGTTCATTTAGACCTTTCCTACTGTGTTTTAAGTGAATCAGTTTACCTTTTGCCACAGAGAAAGTGCATGGCTGTTACCACAGTTACTACAGAACCTGGATCTCACGTCAATCTGTGTGGTCAGACAAAATTACTTGGGGGTGAATATGACTTTTTTTCGTCACAGTAGTTAAATATCCTGACCTGTATATGCAGGCAGAGCTTTCACTCTCGGTGAGGAGGATCGGTCCAACCTGTAGACTTAGGGCTTGTGTAAACACCAGTGTCACATCGGTTAAAATGTAACCAGGTTTAAAACAACTTTAGATAAATCGGTGTAAACCCTGTGGATATAGACAGACCAGTTTAAATATAAATGATGGACTGAGCTTGTGCTTGTCAGCTGAAGTCTGCCGTAAGCCATGGACAGGTCATTCACTTTACAGTAGCTGTGCCTGTTGGTAACGCTGCCTCATCCCCTCTCGCCGTGTCTGCCCTTGTGGAGCTGCCAGTGGAGCAAATCCTGTACATATAACCTAGTTCAGGTCTAGAACTATAAACCTAGTTTCATTCACTTAAAATATGTTGCTTGAGTAGGCTAATAGAGATGATCTGGCATGCTTTAGCTTGTTTTGCTCTCGTTGTTTCCTTTCAACTGGCCTTGCTGTGGAGACAGGAACATCTTCATCCAGCCCAGTTAGTGCCCAGAGGACGTCTGTCTGCAGCTTCAGCGTTGCCAGGGAAAACAGTTGCCTCGAGCTGACTGCAGTTAGAAAGTTAAACTGGTGTCTCTCCATGCTTGAATCTACCTCAAAAAGTAAAATGGTACCATGTGAGTTAGAATCTTAGTAAACTCTTTATGAAATGTTTCTTCTATACCTTTTTTGATATATTTAAGTGAAGCATAGTTAATATCAGAGAATGAGGTCCCCATGTATGAAGAAGCTCTCTCATAAGCATACTTGTTGCCTCAGTGAATATCGTTTCTTAAAAAAATAAAACAATTTAAACACTAGTAGTATGATATGTATATCTGTGGCTTAAAGGCACTTGGTTTGTGTGGACTTCATTAGAGCTCAAGAGCTTAAAGACTCCTAAACCAAGAGGTGGAGCCAAGTATAATTGAGAAGTAGGATGCCTGTTGCATGAGTGCATTTACAAATCTCTCTTCTGTTCTCAGATCCCTCTGATGATGAATGGGAAGAACTCTCCAGCAGTGATGAAAGTGACTTGTTTATGGAAAACTCATACAATGAGGGGAGTGGGCTGCTAATGACACCCCTGTGCCTCTCTGATGAGGTTAATTCGGCGTTTCTGAACAACCTCATTCCAAAGAAGGTATTGTCTTGTATTTTATTTCCAGCGCATGGTACAGTCTTTCCCTTGTGCCCGATTTGTATCCTAGGTTAGGCAAATGAATTATCTCAATCCATCTGGAGAAAAGGAATATTTTTTTCAAGTCAGTTTAGCTTCACTTTTTTTGGCCTAGAGGTGGAACATCATCACATGGGCTGTCTTGACCCAAATCATTTCTTTGTGTAAGTGGGAATAGAAGGTTCATGTGTTTCAGAAAACTAGTGGTGTTTTTTGTTTTTTTTTTTAATTTGGCTTTTCCAAAATACAAAGGTGGTTATTCCTTGATTTGGAGGATTACCTGCAAAATGAAAGGAAACTTTGGGTAGAAGCATGCCTACCAGATTTCTGTATTAGCTAAGTGAGGTGGAAGTAACGTATGTGAATGGCAACAGTCAGCACTGAAAGTGCAAGTTCATCTTCCCCCTGTTTTGTACATAGCGTCTGAAGTACAATATCTGACACTGATGAGTTCCGATGTTCTTGTTTAGAGTTGTTTTACTCATTCTTATTTGGGGTCACAAAGATGAAGTTTGTCATTTGTATCAGTTATTGTGCTGGTTCAGCATTCTGACCCAAGTCAGCAAGGTGCGAGATGAAAACATTGAAGGCTTTTTGTGCTTAATAGCAAGCAGTCTAAATTTCATGGCAAGGTCTTTTAGACTTGCAGCTATCTGAAAATCTGTAGTAGAATCTGTAAGAAGAAAGATCTAAATCAAAAAGAATTGCAGAGACCTAGAAAATCATCTTTTGTTTAGTACAGTTGGATACTTAAACTATGCTATGCTAAACCCAGTGTCTAATTGCACCATTTGACTGATTGAGGAAAATTCTGTCATTTTCAGTAGGTGAGACGCTTGCTACCTGGAAAGGTTTGAAATATGTAGTTTGAAGTATCTGTTTGACATTAAGCTAAAATGTCAGTCTTCCCCCAAAACACACTTAAAAAACAAACAAACAAAAAAAGCTTTATTCCTAAACCTTTCTTTTTCCCCTCCCCAGATTCTTGAAAAAACTGCTTTTCCGAACAGTGTTGCTCTAGACATCTGTATGCACAATCCGTCTTGGAAACCATTAATTAAAAAGTAGGAATTTAATTGTCTCTCTTACTGTTTTTCATGTGTATTCAGTTGTTTTAGAACTCTTAGAAGAATTGTCCCGTCTTTGGGTTACTTTTAAGATCTGGACAGTGGCAGATCTGATACGTGATTTTGAATAAAGAGATACAAATGTTTGTGTAAACTGCACACCAGATCACAGCCTGATTTAATTCAAGATTCTTCTTTGTATTTTGACATCTGTTTTCGAAGAGATCTGCTAAGTGCAATTTTTGTTTGTTTGTTTCAGACTGAATGCAGTGCAGTGTAGAGCTTTAACGTGTCTTCATAGCATTTTGTTAGTGTCAGATGTGGATTGTCTTGGAGGAGCTGCAGCACTTCAGTCCCTTGCACAGCATCTCTCGCAGCTCGTCTTTTCTAAAACGGGTAAGATATCTTTCACATCATTGTTTCTAGGAATCTTATGAAATTATGGCAAAGGTGGTTGTTGCAAAGACCTCCAGAATGTACATGCTTATTACAGCAGGAAACAGAGCAGCCACCTTGTCTCCAGGACATGCTTTATGAATATGGCTGCATAGCTTTATTGAAGAATATATTTGCAATAAAAAAAATGTGCAAAGTCTTTATGACTAAATATTAAAGCTTCTTAACTTCCTGTTATGGTGGTGGTTTGATTTCAGTGGAGAAGGCAATCAATTTCATTTTTCTAAAAATACGTTTTTAGAGCGTCAGATATATCCTGGTAAACACTCAAATGTATCCACCGTAGTTCCTCCAAGGCACATTATTTCGTAGAGATACTGTGCTGGTTTCCCCGTACATCTGCTAGTATCAGTATTATTGGATGGTCTAGTGTAGATACACAGCTGTTAGCATTTCCAGCTACCTCCTGTCATCTTACACATTAGATCAGCATCATTCCAATAATACTGTTGGACCATTTACGCTATGATCTGTTACTGACCCTAAAAAAGGTTAAAAAATTAAAAAAAAAAAAGTTCTAAGCTGATGATATGGTTCCCTGATGGGCTGCTTCATTCAGACTATTCTGATAATCTGTTTTTGTTTTAAGGTCAGTGATGATGGCTTTTCAAAATAGCAGGGATATTCTTTGAGGCTGGAAAATTCTCAAAATTGTCAGAAAACATTTTTCCTAAGACATATCTGTTGAAGTCTAGCATATGCATGGCTTTTGTTGTCTCCTAGAAGCTTGAGAAGCTCAGTCTTCTTTCCTTCCTTCAAGTGTCTTAATTTGTAGCCACAGATGCGGTGTATGTAGTTCTTATTCGCTGTAGGGTGTAGTATGACACTGCATTAATGCTTGAAAATGCATCTGCCTGCAAAACACAATTTTTTCTCAGTGTCATTAAAAGCATGTGATCAGTCTTTGGGAACATTATTACTGAGAGCATAGTGCTCAAAAAACTGAAATGCAGGAAATGAAAATAAATATGAAGATATATGCAAGGAAGTTCACATAAAATATTTGTCTCATGCTTGAAGAGCAGGACTTGAACGATTTCAGAGTCTGCATGTTATGCTTCGCAATGGTCAGAAGGTTTTTAGATGAAACTGGAGAAGTGGCTAGCTGATGGCAGAGGGTGCTAATAAATTAGTTTAATGGCCCACATCCATTTTTGTTAACATAATATTTTTTCAGTAATTAAATGCTGTGTAATGGAAACTGCCAGACAGAGCTGATAACATACCACCATGTGGTTAGACTGAGTTCTGTGGTTTACAGGGTGAACAAGAGGCGTAAAAATCTAGTTGCTTACATGGGGAAGGAGGAGATCTGCATGAAATAATCAATAGTTTCTACATTTGGAGTAGTCCAGAAGATAAGAACACATGGAATCTATGCTAAGGCACATGAAAAAC